AAGCTAAGCTAAAGCTGTTTTACAAAATTTATATAAAAATAAAATAAAATAAAAAACAATGTTTGTTTATAAAAATAACTTATAAAAATTTGAGAAAAAATCGAAAAAATAAAATGATTTCAGATTTTTTTCACCCCCCAGTAAGTTAAATAATATTATTATTATTTATACGTAATATAAATTAATTCAAATTAATATTAGAAAAAATTACATTTTTCATAAATTTATTAATTTTAAATTTATTTACCACGTGCATTTTTTTTTTTTTTTAAATCGAATATTAAATTAATATTAACTACATATATTACGATATTTTATGAACGAGAGATGATAAAAATTTTTTTTTTATAATATTGAAAACAATGACAAATATATATAAATAATGATTTTTTTTTTTTTTTATTAAATTTAGTGAATGTCGTTTCGTCGTTGACCATGGCTTCAAAAAAAAAAAAAAAAAAATTGGGCAAACCAATTTTTTTTTTTTGTAAAAGAATATTAAGAAAATATTATTTGTACGGCAAATGAGATTTTAATTTAACAATAATAGAAAAAAATTTTTTTTTTTTTTTTTTTTTTTAAGAAGTCGGTCGTTATCATTGAAATATAGAAGGGAGTCGCAATCAATTCAAGTGCATAATTAAAGAACATACCGACCATGAGCTCAACAAACTTGTTCTACTAACCTACTGGCTGACTAACATTGAAGATTATTTCAATTGCGACACAAGTTAATTTCACTTTCGTTCCTAAAGAAAGCAAAAGTAATAATAATAATAATAATAATAATAAATTTTGTAGTTATATTGTTAATTTAATTATTTAACACTACCACATCTGAAATTTTAAATTTAAAGATTTAAATATTAATTACATGATTTAAAAAAAAAAAAAAAAATTCGTAAATCATTTAACATCAGCAATTAATTTCGCAAAAATTGTTCAATATAAATTTAATTGTTGTAAAAAAAAATAATAATAATTAAATTTTACATTTTAATATCGACAAACTAATAATTAAACTATTAAATAATTTCGACAATTACAATGCTTGTGCAAACTTTTGTTTTTTTAGCATTATAAATATATATAATAAAATTTGTCGAAAAATAAACTAATCTTTTATTATAAAGTACATAAAAAATACTTGAAATTCGTTGTATTAATTTCAATCAGTCCAAAATTAGCAAAAAAAAACAAAAAATCACGCATGCATGACATAAAATTGGATAAATTAAGTTTCAAGTACCAACCAACCCATCATCATTAACAAATACATATACAGGAAGTATAATTATACGTGTGCCATTAGAATTGGGTAAAATATTATTAATTTTTTCAAAAAAAAAAAAAAAAAAAAAAACATAATTCTTAATTTCACTTGTCAAATATGTTTTAAATACTTTGATTACAAAAAAATATTATAATTAAAATTTTTACTTTGTGTTTTAATCAAACCGAGTTCGATTGAAATGAATCACGTGTAAATTTATTTATTTTAATTTACATAAAAAAAAAAAAAGAAACATAATTAACTGTGCATAAAAGTTTAATACATTTATTAATTATATTTTTTTTTGTGTGGTGTAAAATAAATTACGTTGGGTGATAAAATTATAAAATCATACTTTACAGTCCCAAATAAACTTTTGCATTTTTTTCAAAGCAATGTATTAGTAGAAAACCAAATAAAAAAAAAAATTAACAATAAATTATTTATATCAATATTATAAAACTATCCAGATCATTAAAAAAATTTTATGATTAATAATTTTATTTCAAAGAAAATATTAACGAAGAAACAATTATTTATAAATTCAAATTCTTGTTTTTACCAAGGATATCATTGATTAAATATCGAATGCAATATTAAAAAAATAAAATAAAAATACTTTAAGATGAATGAATGTTTAAATACAAGTAAACATAAATGTTCAGCAGCACAATAATAATAAACCTAAAAGTTATATAAAAATAACAATTTTTTTTTGTTAAAACAATAAAATATTTTTTCTGGAAAAAAATTTTGGTACGGAATTAATAACAAATAGCACTTTTTTGAACCATATTCTATATGAATCATATTATTTTTCATAGCGTACAGTTTAAATTTTTAATTACCGACAAAATGTTTATTTACTAAAACAGATTAGATAAACTTTAATTTTACTTTTGGTTTTTTCAACAAACTAACAAAAAAAAAAAAAAAAAAAACCATTATTAGGTCTAATATAATATATAATATTTGTACTGCTAATAATTTTTTTTTTTTAAATAAGTTTATTTTAATTTTAGAATTTGAGACAATGGTCATTAAATTTTTTTAATGCGTTTCGTAAATATTATTATTGTAAAGCTCACGTGGGTTAATTTAAAACTAGGAAATGACACAAAAGATTTTATTTGGACACTTTACTTTTTCTTTAGCCAAAATTAGCAAGCATTAAAAAAAAAAAAAAGTGAATCTTGAAACCTATGGCAGAAGAAGCCTTGGTGGCTATTCCGTGACATCATGCTTGAAAACCCGATTTCAAGGTTTTTTCTGCTACTTCACGAGTACTTTTATTACATTCAGTAGACATATTTTAATTAAAAGAAAAAACTCACAAAAAAAAAAATTTATATTTAACGCACACACAAAGCTCAAACTAATGCTTTTTTAAAAATTTAAATACACAATAAATTTTTAATTAATAATTCCATAAAAGTGTGAAAATATTGTAGACAATAATTCTCACAAGCTCTTATTTATTGCTGATAGAAAAACAAAATTATGTAACCAATATTTAATTCCAATCATGAATACATCAAAGAATATAAGTCATATTTCAAAGATTTTAATAAAATTAAATTAACCAATTTATATTAATTAAAATAATTTTAAATTTTAGAAGTGTAGAAAAAACTATTTTAAATATTAGGAATATTATAATTTTTTTTTCATATATTACTCAAACCTATGTTTAATATTATATATGAAATCTTTGCATTAAAAAATAACATACAAAAATATATAAAAATTGTGGGTAAAGAAATGAATGCTTTCATATATATAACATCTTCGATAATTTAAAAATTTATGTATGTAAAAGACATTAGAAGAAATGTAAATATTGTTAACATAATCCATTAGTATTATTTAAATAATTGCTTTTGTTTAGATCACAACATCAAGTATTATTATTGTTTATCCTTAACTTATATCATTATTTTTTGTAATATCTCTATTCCATATTTCAATTTATCTTAAAATTAAGAAAATTTTTTAGCATCACTTATTTCTATGACATGGGATTAAGCAGGCCATCGTCAACAAACACAACATAACAAACATAACTATTTAAACTGATTATCCATAATAATATTCTCTACTTTCCCGTATAAATAGTTGAAATCGAATTAAGCGATTCTACATAAAAATATTGAATATTTTTTTTTTTTTTTGGAAAAAATTGTTTAATTTTATTAAACAATTTCAAATTTTAATTAGTTAAAAAACTAATATTAAAAGTACCAAGTTACAAAAAATTTTTATTACACACCTATCAAAAGTCAGGTAAACCATATAAAAAAATTCAGTTTCGAAAAATTTTAAAAACTACATTAAAAATTGTTAAACCTTTTTTCTTTTTACAAATTAATTACTAAGAGCTATGTTGGTAAAATGACTGTGATATTCGTAATGATTTTGAAATTGCTTAAAGAGTATTAATCAGTGGTAAAACAAAATTATACTTTTAGTTACTCAAAAATATTTAAACGAATGCATCAAATATATACAGAACATTATATGTCATCATAACATTAAAATTTATGACAGATATTTTTTTCTCTAAAATCATTTTTAATTTTTTGATATTATTAAAGAAAATTCTGCGTGAGCAACCTAACTTTACCTTACGCTTTTAAGGCCAAGCCCTCGGCAACCAAGGTCAAGGCAAGTTGCTTCCACTGGCAAAAAAAAAATAAAATTATCAAATAAAATCTAAAAATTTAAACAGAATACTATTTAAAAGGTTTGGCATAAAGAATGACAAAAGAACAAACCTTTGAAGAAAACCGGCATGCTGATTGAATCCTATACATTCCTACTAGAGCCCGCCATGAAATCCAAATCAAAGGGACTCTGACCTTCACGTCAATAAAGAATGCTCTTACACATTTTACAGAAAAATAAAACTTATTTTTTGGCACAAATTCACATAAACCATGTAAAGAATATTAAAGTAATTTAAACTACAATTTATAAATCAAGTATATAACTTCAAACTTTTAAACTTATTAATGCTTACAACACTGTTTACCTATGATCTTAACACTTCCAAGATTTTAAAATGGATGCCGCATAAAATTACTTTTACGTCATAAGGCTTTTATAGCGAATTACAAACTCTTGGCGTTGATTTTGTTTCAAAACATTTATTTGAAAATTACTTTTTTTTGCGTAGCAAAACAAAAATAAAAAATGTAGTATTTTATTTTATAACACAAAATTACATTTCCCTTTAACTGATTAATAATTTTTAAAAAAAATTTAATTTTTTTAAATATCAAAAAATGTGTGTAACTAGTCTGTATTATATTTTGTAAACAAATTTTTTTGGTATAAAAATTCTAGAATAAAGCGTAAATTTCGTTTTAATAACTTCGTATTTTGTATCAAACAAGTACCTTTTAGCCTTTTTTTTTATTTTAGCTGTATAAAAGTAATAAATTTATTATTTAGGCGACGGTAATTATTTAACATACCCTCAATATTTAATAAAACGATATATTATTTTATATTTTTTTGAAACTTATATAAAGAATAAAAAAAAAAATTAAAATGAGTGAAAATAATTAAAAATTACAATCTCAAAAATAAAGGCTTTTATATTTTATATTTCAAAATTATATAAATTTACAAAAATAAACAATTTTGTGCAAAACTTAAAAAAAATATAAAATAATTTTATAATTTACTTACAACAATATATTACTTGCTATATGGAATGATCTCTCTACACTTTGTTAGAGTTTATACCCGGAATGAGATAACTTAATGTAACATTATCATGAACTACATTCATTAATACCATTTTGTTCTTCACAATGTTACACATAACACTATTAGGATTAACTTGATCGATTGTTAAAAAACCAATTATTTTTTTAAAGTCCACTGTAACATCATAACATTTTTCTTCCTCAAAATCACCTAAAGAAAAATAAAAAAAAATTTTTTTTTTTTTTTTTTCTAAAATTCTTGCCTTAAAAAATATAAAAATTGAAATTATAAAAAATTTTGCAATACTTTTCCTCATTAGAAAATAAGAAAAAAATATCAATTACACTATACACTGCACATCTTTATTATAATTTAATAACTGAGTGAATAATTAATAATTAAGGTTGATAATTATTATTTAAAAAGCAAAAAAAAATGTCATTCAGTAATTTGAAATTAGCGATAAAGAAATGTTTAAAATACTTATATATATTTTCTAAATTAAAAGAAAAGACAGCTGAATAAAAACTGCTCAAGAATGAAAAATTTTTTTTATAAATAATACTATACCTAAAATATGAATATAAAAAAATTTAATCTTACCATTATATGCATCAACTTTAAGATTAGTAAAATAAGTAGCAACTGAAGCTAAATCTGTTTCTACTTTAAGAGCTAATATTCCCTTTGGGGTAGCTTCCAATATTAATTGAGAACTTAAAAATTTCATTTTTTCACAAATATTTTTAAATCGTTTCAATACTGGTATTTCAATGCTTATCTATAAGTAGTTATTTTTTTAAGAAAAACAAAATAAAGTCTTGTTCTAATTTTTATTTTTTTGATTTAAAAAAAAAATACAATTAAAATTTAAAACTTTCAAAAACTATGAGTACTCACATCAAATTGAGGAAAAGTTGGTAACTGGAAATCAGGCCAATTTTTTCTAGAAATTATTTCTACTGGAATATCATGTGTACAAATTCTGGAATGTTTAAAATGTGTGGGAATTTCAATTTCACAAACCAAACATGGTTTATTTTTTTTTGCTAGTTTTATTTTAAAAGACTTAGACGACTGTGGATATTTTAAAACGGAAACAGCTTTAGCTAATAAATCTAAAAAAGAAAATAAAGTAATTATGTAATATTCATATTATATGTATATGTGTATTACAGTAAGTATAAAATTGCATATTATCATTTTTGTTACCTGGGTAGAATTGCAAACAAATTTGGTTATGTTCTTCTGATACACCAACTACTGTATATTCATTAAAAAAAAACTTTTGATCCAAAATACATTGTGCCAATATTCTTCTAGGAGTACAATCATCAAATATAACAAAAGACAAAACTGTTGGAGTCAAACTTATGGCACCGTGCTTGCCTAATTTGGATAATGTATTAATTGTGTCTGAAATAAAATTTTCTCTAATACATTTAGAAAACAAACCTTTTTATTTTTACAAAACAAAAAAAAAAAAAAAGAAATATCATTTTGCTGAGTTGTGATATTTCTTTTAAAATAATACATACTTGAAAATTCACGCATACATTGTGAATCAAACATGCGCCCACGAAATTTCATGTCATTTCAAAAAAATAAAATACCGCAAAAAATTGACCTTTTAGTTTGTGTAATTTCCAGTCAAATACTTCATAATAATAAAATTCCTATTTTATTAAATCAAATTTCAACTAAATTACTGAACTTGATACTGTCATTTACTTAAAATTTATTTATATTTTATTAAAATAATTTTTAAGTAATAACGGTTTTTTTGTTTGTAATGTTTTTTCGTGCCATAAAGTTACTTTTTTTTTTTTACGTAAAAACTCAAATTAATGTTGGTAATCGTGAAGTAATATAAGTTATTAAATTAAATTTCAAATTTTTAGTTAAGTTTTTCAAAAGATTTTCAAACATGTCACTTTGGTTTCACAGAAATATTCTTAAAGCAACAGCTTTAATTGATTTTAATGAAGTACTTTATGGATCTCCAAATATAGCAAAACTTTCGAGGTAACTTGGGCCTCTGAAGATTCATTTCAGTTAAATCCGTTACATGTAAACGGTCGACGCAACGTATTACAATGCTATTCAAAAAATAAGTAATTTTTTATACGAACGATTTATGGCGTTCTAAATTGTGACAATGTCAAAAACAAGAGTAGTAAGCAAATTTTATTCACGAAAAAGTTATGAAAATCTCTTTTAATTTTCTTAAATCGTTTTTATATATAATATTTTTAGCGAATAATATCTATGTTACTACGATCGTAATAAATAATAACTTAAAATAATAAAAATATAATGTATTTAAGAAAACATATAGGTATAGTACTAATATATGTGAATAATCATATGGTTAAGTATACAGTATTAAAATGTACAATATATTTTTTTTATTTTAGTGATCTTAAAAAAGCAAGAGATAGACTTTTAGATATTCTTCCGGATGCGACTCATACATATGATACCATGAGTACAGCCTATGTAGCTTATTTATCACATATGTGCGGGTTTTTTATGGATTATAAAATATTCGACAAGAAAGTTAGATATTCATTTACATTTAAATGGACTCATTCATTATTGGGATCAAATATCCAAACTCAACAGGATGCAGCATTTGACATAGCTAATATGAGTGTAAATGTAGCATTATGGCACATGAAACATGCTTCTTATATGGTTTCAAAAAAATTGTAAATTATTACATTCTTATAAATATTAATTTTTAAAACATTTTTTCATTTAAAGATTTTTTTATGTTATATAAATTAATAGTTGTAAAGCTGTTAAAAAAAAAAAGAAAAAAGCCTGCGATGTTGCAGAAAGACAACACTGAAAATAACAAAAAATTTTCTTAAAACAATATATTATTGTAACTAATTTATATATATATGTATTTTCAGGTTGTCTGTGGAAGATATAAAAGATGTACATTCTAGCTTAAGAAAAGCTGCTGGAATTTATCAAATGGTGATGAAAGATTTACTACCTTTATTAGAAAGAGGATTACCTGGAAGCGATTTAGATCCCAAAGTTCTCCAAGCTTATTTCTCCCAGAGCACAGCAGAAGCTCAAGAAGTCACAGTTGGTCGAGCAATCGAACTCCAACATACAGATAACTTAATATCATCTTTGGCATTTGAAACAAGTCAATTATTTGATAATTCTAAAAATCAATTGAAAGGTTTAAGCAAAAATGTATCAGAGCAGTGGATTTTATATTTGGATATAAAAAAGAATATTTACTTAGCATTTGTGAGAATTTTAATTTTCCTCTTGTAATTAAAAATGTTATGTTAAAAAAAAAAAAAAATTTAATTATTAAATCTGTGTTTTTCGTATAGGCTTATTGTTATTCAGGAAAAAATCTTTTTAAAGAAAATCTTTGTGGTGAAGCCATTAGAAGTTTAAGAGAAAGTCAAATTTTATACAATAGAGCTATAAACTTGTGTAAATTATATTCAAAAACGAAAGCACCTGCAAAACCAGTAAAACCAACAGGTCACTTATTTTTTACAAATATCAATGCCACTGTAAATTCATTACTTGAAAAATATGAAAGAGAAAATGATTTTATGTAAGTTTTAATTTTAATATTTTTCTTCTATTCTATTTTAAATTTAATATAAATTTAAATTTTGGTCAGCACATAATTATATAAATGAGCAATGTTATTATTATTTTGTTTTAGCTATCATCAAAAAATACCTGATAATCCAAGAATTCCAGAAAAAAAAGCAACATATGGTTTGGCCGTTCCAGAAGTTTGTCATTTACCTCCTCCACTACCTTTTTGGGAGACTGCTTTTGATGGTAAAGAACCATCACAATTACCTAAAACAAGTTTGTAATATTTGGTAAGTAACAACATACATAAACTTTATTTTACTAAATATTTTTTATAAAATCTTAAAAGTAAATTACAAAACACAATAAATGTTTATGTTTTCTTTGATAATACATAATTATATTTAAAAAATATTACATTATTTTTGGAATAATTAAATAAATTAATTAAGAGTCATAATATTAAAAAAAAAAAAAAAAAAAAAAATGATATAATTATTTTAAATAAAATAATCTACAAATATTCAGTTCAGTTTTTGTTTTTTTTTTTTGTTCAGATTCCTAACTCTCTCTCCCTCTCTCTTTCAAATTCAATATAAATACGTGTATAAAATATAAGTAATTGTAATTAAAAAATATTGTATAAACACACAAAACATACACAACATTTAAAAATTTTCCATTGCACAAAATAAATAAATATTCACGAGTCTTTATGAAAATTGATTAATTTCGATTAATTAATTAAAATTTGATTTAAAAAAAAAAAATTCTTTTAAACACATTCACATTACATATTTTAAACAATTTAAATAAATGCTTATTATTTTAATCGACGTGGATGTAATATTTATTTAAAATTTATTTCGTCAAATACAATTAAAAATACACTAAAAATTTTATTATTTTGTATACTAATATTTATTATTCACGATATCAAAATATGATTATTAAAATAAAATAAAATAAATAATTTTTTTTTTGAATTAGGAACACTGACTTACACAAAATGTCTTCTTAATTCATTATTTTACTTGTAATGATTAAAATTTAAATTTTTCATTAACCGTCTAAATAGTGTAATAAACTATTTTTTATAAAATTAAGCTTTTTTTTTTTTTTTTTTTATCATCACCTTATTTTTAAAGATAATTATCTCAAGTCCTAACACAGAATGAATTTTATCATTATTGTCATAAAATTAATGCTGAATTTCCAGCAGAAGATAAATTATTATAATTATTTTTTCTGCATTTACTTTTTCTTTTGGTGAGAGGTGAATTGGCAGCATAATTCACAATTTTTGAATTATCCGAATCGTTTGAATAATTGTTTCCAGATCGAAGTCTGGAAACCATATTCATTATAGACGGAGATGTTTCCTTGTGCCAATTTTTTTCATTTTTTCTAAAGCTTAAATTTTTTTTTTTATTTGAATTTTTTCGAAAAGTGGAAGGCACTTTTCTACAGTTTTTTACACTATTTAGAGTTTTCTTATTGCTTTGAGATAAATTTAAATTTATATCCGTTAAATATTTATTTTTTTCTCAAAAAAATACTTTTTGAAATTTTTTCCTAGATTTCTTCGTAACAAAAGAGATTTAACATTTTCTTACTAAACTTTTTTTTTTTAATATTTTCATTCTAATATTTTGAATTTGAGTACTACAATCACTTTACTTTTCACCGATAGATCTAGTGATTTGCCACTGTCGAAGTAAACTGCTTATTTTCCATTTTAGTTTTGGACAAATTGAATTCTCTTTTACTTATAACTTCTTCCATTGCAGGTGTTAAATAATTTTTATTATATAATGTGGAATTCCAGTTATTATTATCATTTTTTACCTTTTTTCCCACATTTAGGGGAGACATTACATTACGAAGCTTTAAAACTGCTAAAATTGCTGGAGTTGGATTTTCAAGAGGATTCGCTTTTTCTTTTTTCAAGTTTATTTCTTTGACTTCATATTTTGGTTTATCTTTTTGCTGTTTTCCCATTTTATTTTTTTTTAAACTGTAAAAAAAAAAATCAAAAACTCTTATTTACAAAATTTTTTGTGTTTTTTATATATTATGGAATGTAAAAATTATCATTAAAATGTTACTTACTGGTTGTTTGATGTGATATGTGTTTTTAAAATTTTTTCAGGATTCGATTGAAGTACTTTAACCCAGTCAAAAGTTTCTCTAGACCTCAAAGCCGGAAAATTTGCTGCTGTTTGTTGCCTAGTAATTCTATTGAATTCAGCCTGAACGGGAACACAGGGTTGACGCGACATATTTCGAGGTATTTTAATAGGTTTTAATTCAACCCAATTTTCGGTATCTGATTCCCTTATTCTCTTTCTACTTTTCAATTTCACAGGTGGGGAATCAAAGTTTAATTTTCCGTCATCAGCGTAACCGTATTGACGAATGCCCTGACGTAATAATGATTTACAATATTCATAATCAGGTTTGCTTTTAAAACTCAAGCTGACTACATATTTTAAAAAATGACTCAATACAACTATAAAATAAAAATGAATAATTTTAAAATACAATCAAAACTATAAAATTATTTTTGTTAAAAGATTAAATTAAAACCTGGAGGATCATCGCCAAAACATTTTTTAAGAAACAAAGGGATGTTATTCATGTAACTTTCTTTTTCTTGTGCCACTTTCTCAGGATCAGAAAGCTCACTTTCCCAGGGTAAAAATCCACATAACCAATGAATCATATTGTAAGCCAGGCCTTCTAAATCACTTCTTCTTGAATGAGCTAGTGATAAAAACAAACAATTTTTTATAACGTAATATATCATAATACATTAACGAATAATTTTCATGCACTACGATTAAAACGGATAAATCAATATTATCTGACTAATAAATGCAATTTAATTTTTGCAAATATAATTAACAAAATCATGTGATAATATGGCAATCACACAGAAGACAATTATTATCATTAACTTATGAAGCAAAATTTTTTTTTTTTTTATAAAGTTGTTTTAGATAGAAACATGAAATTTTTAAAAATCATTTTTACCTCCGACATGAGCATCACGTGATGTATATTGAAGAGTGCCATCATGTGCCTTTCTCTGATCAGGATTATACTCTTTATGTACACCCAGACTGTCAACATATTTGCATGCTAATCCATAGTCTAATAAATAAACATTTTCATCATTTTTGTCACTTCCTAGGAGTAAATTTGAATCTTTAATGTCTGCATGAATGTATCCATGGCTGTGAATATATTCTAGTATATCTAGCTATAATTTTAATGTAATATAATTATATAAGTAATAATTAATATAAATATTATGTAACAATTAATCCACAAAATAAAAAAATTTTTACTAAAAATATTACTAACTATTTGTAATCCAAGAGTGAAAACAGTCTTTATATGAAATTTTTTTTTACATTTTTGAAATATTTTGCTAAGGTCTTGACCAAATTTTTTTAATATAAGAAACCTATATTTTTCATTTCTATATTGATGAGACCCAAAAGCAATGTAATTGGGCATTCCTAAATGTTTTAATTTTTTATCTTTTTTCCACTTATCAACTGAAAGTTTAAAAGTAAAATTTTAAAATTAATTTCACAATTTTCCAAATTGATAATTATAATTTAATTAAAAAAAAAAAAAACTAACTCATTTCTTGCTTTGCTACTCTAATGTAAAAATTCATTTCCACAAAAAGAGGACCACTTTTGTGAGGCTCAATTTTAGCTATGTAAAGAGCATCATGTGATCCAGATTTAAGAATTTCATCGAATACTAGGTAAATTTCTCCGAAACCTCCAGCTCCTATAGCTTTACCAGTTTTCCATTTTTTCCCACTTTTATCCGTTAGCAATTCCCCTTCCTTTATTTGAATTGGATTAAATAAATTAGTTTTTTTTTTAAAAGAAGCATTTTCTTTTTTGCTTTTACCCATATTAAACTTGATATAATTTTAAAATTATGACATCTAAAAAAAATTTAAAGTACACAGTGACGTCTAAGAATTACTTAAAATCACAAATTTATTAGATAACGTTCAATGTTACAAATACACAGCTTACTATTATGCTATATTATTAATATGGTATGTTTATTAATACTTTGTAAAATCACTAATACACTGTGATATTTCGAAAAAGAATACTTTAGTTTTTGAAGTAGAATCAATAAAAACTTTTAATCAAAATAAAAATAGTTTTAAGTAGGATCAATTTAATTATCGCAAAATGGTAAAATTATTGAATTAATTTTATAAATAAGTAAATACTATAATTTGTGTAAAATAAATTTATACTTAATAACAGGTCTTGAAATTTTTATACTATTTTTAATTTATAATTTAATAAAAAAAAGAAAAAACAAATATAATATGGCTAACAAATTATGCAAGCAAAAATTTTTAAGAATAAAGCCACTCTAACCACTTAAGTCGAATAAAATGTTTAAAGATAAAAAACTGATCGTTTAAAAAAATACTGTTTTCCCGTAATTGTACCTTTATGCTTTAAAAGAATTAAAAAGACAGTTAAATAGCAGTAAAATACTCAGAACTATTTTTTTTCTAAAAAAAATTAAAAAAACAATTTAAATTGATGTCGCCATTTTAATTATACTGTAATCAAATTAATGTTTTTACTACTACCACGAAATTTGTTTTTTTTTTTTTGAAATAGATAGAAAATTTGTATAACCTTAAACTTGCCTGTTAAACTATTCTATTTTTCAATTAAAGTTTGTTTTAAAATGTAACAGTAAATTTATTTTTAATTTAATAAACTTGCATTTTCAAAAAACTTTAATAATACTCACTCTAAATAATAAATAAGCCTGCATTATACTTGTACTTTAGTTTTAAAAATTATGTAAAAGTATTTTATATTTTTTAATTAGTTGCCGGTTATTTTCAGAGCCCAGTTTGTTAAATATGGAATTAAATTACAATTTTTTCCTTAATAAGATTTTGAGGTGAAAAAATGTTCGAACGTAAAAGATATGGAAAATTTGGCCCAATTGTTGGAGCGATCGATGAAGGAACAAGTAGTACTAGATTTTTAGTTAGTAATAGTCAATATAGTTTTTTTTTTTTTTTTTCTCTTTTTACAAAAGTTTAGTTTTCCTTTGATTTATGTTTATTTTTTTCTTGGTTGCTAAAGGCCTTTGCTGCAGATACTTCTGAAGTTTTAACATTTCATCAAATTGATATTCCTCAAAAATGTCCTCAAGAAAATTGGGTCGAACAGGACCCCATGGATATATTAGATGCTGTTAGAGAATGTATTGAAAAAACTATTTATAATTTAAGAAAATTAGATATTAATCCTAATGATGTTGTCGCTATTGGTATTACTAATCAAAGGGAAACAACTATTTTGTGGGATAAACTCACTGGAAAGCCTCTATATAATGCTATTTGTGGGTTTATAATTTATTTTGAAAAGCGAATAAAAGGAAATTTAATTTTTAAATTATAAAATCTTTTAAAATTTTGCTGTTAATTTTTTAGTATGGTTAGATATGAGAACTTCTTCAACAGTAGATAAAGTTTTACTTAAAGTTAAAAATAAAGATCCTGAATATTTAAAACCATTATGTGGTTTGCCTATAAGCACTTATTTCAGTGCTTTAAAAATTAAATGGCTTATAGATAATGTAGAAGAAGTAAGAGTAGCTATAAAAGAAAATAGATGTCTTTTTGGCACAGTCGACACTTGGCTTATATGGGTGAGAAAATAATATTTTTAATAAGGCCTATATAAATTTAATTGATGATAAAATTAAAAATTTAAAGGTAAATTTCCTATAGAATTTAACAGGTGGTCCAAATGGTGGTCATCATGTTACAGATGTTACAAATGCTTCTAGAACAATGCTTATGAATATCTCTACTTTAAAATGGGATGCTAGGCTGTGTGACTTTTTTGATGTTCCATTGTCGATATTGCCTCAAATATACAGTTCCTCTGAAATATATGGTTACCTCACTGAAAAAGCACTGTTAGGAATACCAATCTCTGGAGTTAGTAATTTATTAATATAAGCATTTTAATTTCAAGAAATTTGATTTATTATAGCTAAATTTTTTTTTTATTGTCCTAATTATGTTTTTATAGTGTTTAGGAGATCAACAATCTGCTCTTGTTGGACAAATGTGTTTTAAGCAAGGGCAAGCAAAAAACACTTATGGAACAGGATGTTTTTTACTGTACAACACTGGAACTTTGGTGAGAAGTTAAATAAATTTTAAGTTGTATTTATTTTTAACCAACGTAAGGAAATTTCAAAATTAATGAATTTATTTAGATGGTTCAATCTAATCATGGATTATTAACTACGGTAGCTTATAAATTAGGAAAAAATGCTCATCCTGTATATGCATTAGAAGGCTCAGTGGCCATAGCAGGGGCAGCTATGAAATGGTTGAAAGATAATTTAGAGTTTTTTAAAGATGAAAAAGAAACTAGTAAATTAGTAGAAAAGTGTCAGGGGTCAAGTGATTTATATTTTGTACCTGCTTTTTCTGGACTTTATGCTCCTTATTGGAGAAAAGATGCTAGAAGGTTAATTAATTTAAATTAAATCAATTATCATCATATTACTATAAAAACAAAAATTTTAATTTTAACTTACGAGGTAAATATTATAATTTATAGTGTTATTTGTGGGCTTACCGAAGAAACTTCTAAGCAGCATATAGTCAAAGCTGCAATGGAGGCTGCTTGTTACCAAACCAGGGATATATTAGAAGCAATGAATAAAGATTGTGGTATTCCACTTCAAAAATTGTTAGTTGACGGAGGGATGACTGTTAATAATTATATAATGCAATTACAAGCTGACCTATGTGGAATACCAGTAGGTAAGAAAGTCTAAGAAATTTTTATTTATGAAACTTATGTAAAAGATTAAAAATTTTTAAACTTTACCTATCCCGGCAATTATGATTTTAATGAGTACAATTTATTTTTTCCAAAATATTTATGTATACACTTACTTTAATGCACTAGTTCGACCAATAATGACAGAAACTACGGCTCTTGGGGCAGCTATGATGGCTGGAATGGCGGAAGGAATAAATGTTTGGGACTTGCAGAACACGCCAAAAGTTGTTTGTGATACCTTTACACCTTCTATATCAGAAGACGGTAAATTTAAAAAAAAAAAATAAATAAATAAATTACAAAACATTAAAGATTTACTCACTTAAACTTAATATTTAGAAAGAGATCTGAAGTACAGCAGGTGGAAAATGGCTATAGAGAGAAGTTTGAATTGGGAGCCAGAATCAAATGAAGAAAAAAAAAAGAAAACAAAGTTAAATCCTGTAATGCCGGCCATATACATGATGTTTTCCTTAACGATTTTGCTTTGGGCTAAACACCACAATTAGTTTTCCTTTTTTTAAATTATATTTAATGTAAATTTAATATTTTTATTAGTATTAAAAATTAATTATTACTTACGTCAACTCAATTGTAGCATCACAAATGATGAATAAAATTTTTAAAAATTTTATTTTACAAACCATGTTGTTTATGTTAACCTAAAGTTTATTTTTTTCCTTATTTTCATTTTTCAAAATGAAAGGAATTAAAAAACAAAAAAAAATTTTTCCAGTAAAAAATTATTTAATATTCCATATAAAATAATGTAGCTTTAAAATTGACAGTTGTCTTATTTCAAATAATTGAAATAAATGCATCATTATATTAAAAAAAAAAAAAATTATGTACAGTTAATTTTTCTTAGAACTATAGATTTAAGTAAGTCATGACTGCATTATCATTTTCCATTTTACTGAATATTGTTGGAATTTTTTCTGAATTTTCCACTAAATATTTTAATGTAAATTCTAAGAAGTTATTGGGAACCAAGATATGACTCAGAGTGCCAAATTGCTCATTTTTTACTGATTTTATTTCTTGATCCATATGGGTATAATATTTGTATTTAACTTTAACGACTTGTTTAGTTGAAAGTTTTAAATTATTTGAACACATTGAAAGTATAAGATTTTTATCGACAACAATAATTAAAAGATAGCAACTAACTTCTTCAGACTCCATAAGAATTTGGGGAAACATAGACAAAGATTCTGATATAGCTTTTTGTATAAAAAATAATAATATTTCTGATAATGTTTTGTTTAAATGTGATAATTCTAAATTACTGAGCCAAAACTGAACCGATTTATTTTTTGAAATACCTACAGTATTCAAACACCTATTACATTTGTAAAATTTTTTTTTTTTTGTACAATTTACTACTAATTCTTCATTTACAATAATATTATTATTTGAATAAAAGCAATCATCAATTTTTGGAAACAAATTACCAAAAGATTCTGTCGTACCCTTGAAATGACAAAACATATCTGCCATATTACAATCTGTGTTTGGTAAAGGTAAAATTCTTTTAAATTTTGTTTCTTTAGTCAAAGAATTAAAGCACTTACAATAAAGATTAGTACAATTCGCAATTGCAGGAGTTACATTTAGATTTGATTTTTTTGTAACATTTTCATTGCATTCAACTTGAATTCTAAAACAAAAAAGATTGTTTTTTACATTGAATCCTCCTGCAGTTAATGGTTCTACAACAAAATCCTCAAATGCAACACTGCACAACTTGCCACTGTTTTCAATTACAATTTCTGACTTTTTAATTTTAACTTTAATAGAAAAATCAAACTTTTTTTTAAAAACAATACAAATGTGACAACTTCTCAAAACTGGTCTTATTTCAATCCACACAGATTCAATCATCTTTAAAAAAAATATTTTATTTTTTCACTACCCGATGCACATGTCCAAGAGATTCATATTTAGAAAAAAGACCATCACTCTCTTTAAGAATAAAGTTTAATTTTGAAATTTGATAATAATTAGAAACCAATTCTAAGTTATTTATCACTGTAGTAAGTAAATGAGCTCGATCTGTTTCACTACCAGAAACGGAATACTCGAGATGAGTAAAATGTACATGAAAATGGTAAAAAGATGGTTGATAATGTACATAAACTCGAAGTTGAGAACTTGGAATAGAATATTTCTTTTCTATTGCTTCCTTTACATAAAAAAGAAAAAAAAAATTAAAATCTGTGTGTTTGACTATTTATAATTTAAAATTTAAAAAATTTTACTCACTATGCTTTTGGTGTATATATTTTTTAAAAGAGGAAGATCCTTTTGAGTAAGATCTCTTAATGACATAATGCCTTTTTTAAAAGGCAATGCTAATAAATACAATGTGTCAATTGACTTGCCATCCCATTTGAGATCACAGCACAAAACAAAACCTGTTTCACTGTCAGGATCTTCAAATATAATTCTATCTGTTTCTGCTTTATGATCCAAAATATTAAACACCCACTGTAAGCTAAACTGTTCACTTTTAAGAAATGGTAATGTTACACTGTAGTAAAGTTCTGGAGTTTCTTCAATGAGATGAAGAGGTTGATGTTCATATTTTGTAATGTGCTTTTCTGTTGCTGGATGTATTACAGTTGCTTTAATGCCTAAAACATTATTAATAAAAGTAAAAAAAACACATTATAAATGAATTTTAAAATTTAGACAATTTCAGTACAAAAATGTAACAAAATGACAAACCATTAAATATTGACTTGGGAAAGTATTGATAACCGTAATAAATGTCATTTATAAAATTAATTTTGATTTCATTTTCTTCCTGAAAAATCTTTGAAATACTTTCACTTAAAAACGATTCTTTTTCCAATACAATAACTGCAGGTTCCGTTTCACTTTCAAAGCGACCTTCAAGTGCTATCTTTTACAATTTTTATTGTCACTTAAAGTTCGCTTGAATTTAAAATTTTTAAGATTTTGGGTGCTGTTCACAATTAATTCATCGTCGGAAGATTTTTTATTATTTTTTTCCTCGACTGCGTTCATTTTGCCATAGACATAAATAAAAAGTCTCTTTTTTTAAGTATTTTATTCTATTTTTTTAATGCTTGATTTTTTAACAATATAATTCAATTTATTACTATTATTAAAGAAATATTTAAAAAATTATTAAATATTTCAATGTGTGCCCTTAATACTTAAGATTTCAACAGTGATGTTAATCAATAAATTTTTAAATACAAAAAGAAAACACCACTTGTTCGAGTAATAATGTCATTAGGTAATAAAAAAAAATTAAATTTTTTTTAATAACATGGAAAATGATTTAGTTAATAGAAAGAAATTTATTTCTTCACTCTATTTATATATTAAATTTTAATTTAACAAAATAAATAATAATTTTAAATAAAAATTTATAAATTATTTAAATTTTTTTAAAATGAAGTATTGTACTCAATTTTTCGGTTTGTTTTAACTATTTCACCTTTAATCAAATTATAATTAATTGTTTAAAATGAAAACTAATTTACAATACATAATAAGACTAAATAAAAAACTTAAAACATAATGAATTAGAAAAAAAAGGCAAATTAGTGAAAATTACAATATTGTGATATATATATATATAGATATATATTATATTTTGAACATATAAAATATAATTAATACATAAGCGTTAAAAATAATATTAAATTTGACAAAATTTTTTACACTATGTATATATAAATGCATATATTAATATGTATATATAGATATTTATACATATTGTTAAATTTTTTTTTATCTACAAAAAATTTTACTACACTAAGAGACTTACATATTAAATCAATCAAAAAAAAAAGAAAAAAAAAATTAAATACAAAGTTATAAAAAAAAAAAAAACTCAATGTATAAAAGATGATTTATATATTTTTTTTTACTTTATTTACTCCAGAAAATTTTTTTATTAATTTTTACTTTTAGATAAAGCCACACCTAAAGTAACAATGCCACCGACGATAAGTGCACCAGCCACTGTAATTGCCATTCCAATTGTGCCTTCTGAAAACGTAAATAATAATAATTTTTAATATTCAAACATAAATTTTCAATGGTGCATAGAATATAATTTTTTTTTTTTTCCCTTAATTTTTGTTTTTTATAATACAAAAATGAGTAATTTTCCTATGTTATTACACATAGATAGTTTTCTGGTTTGTTTGATAGAAAACATATATTTTAATATTATAATAATTACCTTTATTCATTTTCTTTTTAATGATTTTCTCTAAATCTTGGACTTGAGAATTAAAGGGTTCTATTTCCAAAAATACTCTACAATATTCTAATGCTTTGGTATATTCCTGTAATTTAATTATAAATAAAATTAAAATAAAATAATTTGTAAAATCTGTTTCGAAAAAAAACTAGTCAAGTTTAAATTTTTATAAATTTTATTTACTTTCATTCGAGTATGTCCAATGGCCAAATAATAAATATAATCTCTTCTTCCTTCAATATTTGTGCTACATAATTCTTCTAATAAAATAATTCCCTTCTTAATGTCAGCTGGATATTTGCTTCGAATAAGACACCAAGCATATTCAAACTGTGCTTTTGGTGAAACTGATTCATCCTTTGTTTTCAATTGTTCACTATAAATTCGTTCGAATTTCTATAAAATTTACATAGAATTAATTATAAAAAAATTTAAAATTTTAATTATTTTATTTTCAACATGTAAAAATAAGAAAAATAAATAAATATTGTGAAAAAATGAAAAAAATAAATAATTTTTAACCTTTAAATCATCTTCGGAAATTGTTTCGTTTAATAATTCTTCCATTTTGAAAAATTGGATCACAGACTAAAAAACAAATTATACAAATAGACATTCAAAAAACTGAATATATATATTTTTTTTAAATAATATTATATGCACAAAAATTATTTTTTTAATAATTAATTCAACAAAAAAAAAAAAAAAAAAAATTTCAAAATTATTTTCAGATATTACCAAAATAAATATTTGTTTTAAATTACATTAAAGAAGTAATCTGTCAACAGATTAATTAATTAATCGCGTTTTAAATTATTAAGAATAATTTTTATTTTTTTACATAAATGCATTATTAGATTTTAAATTTTCTTACTTGATAAAATTATTTTTGATGACCTTTATTTAAATAAAATAACTACTACATAATTAAAAGTTATAAGTTGGTACCACTGTCGTTTTCATAATTAGGCTATGTAACAAGTTCAGACGCGGTTATTAAAAGTAAAATTTTTTTGATTTTTTGTTTTTTTTTTATTGTTTTAAAATATTTAATTAGTTTTATTATTAGTTCCTAAGTTTTTTTAATTGTTTCCGTTATTTTTTTTTGTTTTCCATTTTTAATTTTGTTACAATTAAATAAAAATTTTGACTTAGCGTTCCCGCCAATCAAAAGGTAACAAAACGAACCATTTGTAAATGCATCGATATAAATTGTTCGAACATAATATTTCAATAATTTTATCTTTTACAATAAATTCATTTCGATTAAAATTCACTTTTGAAATATCTAATTAAAAGAAATATTTAATTGATTTAAAAAAATTTTATTTATATTTATTAAAGTTTTCATTAATGATTTTAATTTTTTTTTTTTTTCAGAAAACTTAAATAATAGGCTTCATAAAGTTTTGAAATATATAAAATCAAAATTTGAGGAAAATAATGAGTGAAGAAATTAAAAAAGGTAAATAATTAATTATTAATTTGTTTTAATAATGTTTATTGATTTTTTTTTTTTCAAATAAAACTCCAATTTTTGAAGAATTTAGATTTTAATTACATTGATTTAGATAAATTGTTTAATATGCATAGGGTAAAGGTATGTTAAGGCTTGACTTGTATTGTACAGAAATTGAAAAAAAATTTTTTTAATGGATCCTACTTCAAAATTGAGTATTTAAATTTAATTTTTCAATTGGGTTTGTTTATTTATGTATTTTATATTATAAATTTTTAAATAATTTTTATAATTATTGTAACATTTTGATTCAAAAGGTAAAAATCTATATATAAGTACTGAAACTATTTTTTTTTTTCCATAAGGTAAATTTATTTTTTTCATTTAAAAAATTTTTCCAGTGTTTCTGTTTCTGACGTGGACAAAAAAAATTTTGTTGTGAATTGCATGACAAATTTTTAGCTTTATTTGAGAAAATTCAAAAAGCGCCGGTGCGTGCATTTGAGTTTTCTTTTTTCCTTTTTTTTTTTTTTTTATTATTCTTTTAGTAATCTTGAGAAAGTTGAGGTTGAAACAACAAAAGAAAAATGGTTTTCACTTTAATTCGGGAATCATTATTTAGATGTATTTGTAATACGTGCCGAAAACCAAATGTTTTAACCGGTACTTTTTTTTATTATTATTTATAACAAAAAAATTTAATTATTGCTAAAGAAAAGTTTTAATTTTTTTTTTATTACTAAAAATAATTTAAATACTAATGACGAATTAGTATAATAAATTTTTTAATTGAGTTTACATGTGAAAATTACAATTTATCCAAATAACAAATGCATAAAAAAAAATTTTTTTTTTAAAAGCTTTTAAAAGTTTATTTATTTATTTATTGTTTATAATAATAGTCTTTGATGTTAAAAATAATTTTTAATTTAGTTTTTAAAATTTAAAAAATTTTCTACCTTATACTTTTCTAAGGCAATAATTTTTTAAAATGTGACAAATGTAATGTGATACCTACTTTCTCAGTTAATTATTATTTTTAATTAAATTTTATTTTCTTTTTTACATTTTTATCATAATTAATATAATATAACACAGGAAAGGATGTGAATAATTTAAAAATTATAAAACCACAAT